CAGACCGACGACCATGACGACGATCTTGCATCGTGACCCACGATCACCGACTGTTGAGGACGACCTTCCGCTGTAGAAGACGATCTTGCAACTCCTCATTCGTGACACTGCCGTCACACCCCCCCCAGCTTCCCGCATGGAGGACGGAAGATGGCAGGCAGTGTACGACTTCACGATTCTTGAGCGGTGAGCGGTGGGAGTCTGGTGGCAAGATCCATTCCACGCCTTAGCTCCCTGCGATTGAGCTCTTCCCAATCTCCGTCGCTGAACTCCACTCTCCAATACGGATCATAGAAATCGCAGACCTTCCCTCTGCTGAGCACAGTATTGTTCTCTTGATCCATGAGCTCCCGTCCAACCATGGTTCCACAGGGAAATTCCGCGAGAGCTTCGGTCCGCGTTGTTGCTACTTCGCGTTCTCCTCGCGACGGCGGTCCCGGGGGTCGTGGTGCGATATTCACCCCGTGAAAGTCTTCCCACAGGGCATGAAAAACATCAAGTTGCAGAGGCGAGAAACTGTCCCTGGCAGTGTCTTCGGTTATCCACGGAGAAGTGGTGCCATCCTGATACTTTCCTCTATACTCCCATGCCCATGCGGACGCTATTCCTCCAGCGCCCTGGACCACCGGTCTATTCTCCAAATTATACAGAGGTGCCTCGACGACGGAGTCTTCAGCTAATCCTAAATCCGGCGACCATACAAAATGACCAAACTCATCTTCAAATGGATGTCTGATGTCTTGTGGTCGAGAATGAAACACGGCTTGAAGTCCGTGGCTGCCACCGTCCTCTGGCGGATTTGACGTCCATGCAGTCTTACAGTAAAGCTCAACCCCTCTCGCACGACGTGCGCGACTTGCCACGGTCCTGTGAAGTGGTCATGGGCAAGTTTAGGGTGGACGCCATCCCGGTAGAGTGTACTGGCGCTCTCCTTGACCAATACCTTGTCGCCCACCTTAGCCTTGGTGCCTGGTGATGCACGTTTGATCCTCGCGTTCTGGAGTTCGCGGTGTTTATTCCGATTTTCCTGTCTCACTTTTAGCACTTACATTACTTCCACAGTCTTCCTTCTCGTTTCCTCCACCGTCCTTTCCAACGGCAATGCTGGGCCCGAGCTGTCTAGTGATGGCGACATGTGATCAAATGATGTCCTTGGCGCCCGTCCAAAGAGCAGGTGGTATGCTGACTCTTTGTTTGGAAGGCTCTCATCCGGCGTCGTACGATGGGCCCAAGCGACCACTGCCACATACTCATCCCACCTGTTCGGCCATGCCTGGCAGAGCTCCGACAGCATCTCTTGCAGCACCGCTCCCATCCTCTCGACTGTTCCCTTTTCTCTAGGATGGTTGGTCGGTCCAAAGTCGAGGGATATTTTGAGCCACCGGCACAGGTGTTCCATGATCGCCGAGGTGTTTTCTGCCCCCGGATCACAGCGCACCGATATGGGTAGTCCGAAGATGAGGATGAGCTCCAACAATTTCTTGCTGACTCCCAAAGTTTCCTTCGTGGGAAGCGAGTAAGCGAAGAGGAACTTGGTTGCTCGACCCACTATCACCAGCAAGTACCTGTTGCCCTTGTTCGATGTCAACTTCATGTCAAGTCATCTCCAAGACTTCCCATGGACGCAAGAATCGTGCCGGTAACATGTAAATTTTTTTTTCTCCACTGTCGTTTTGTCATACGGCATCGACATGATAACACGTAGTCTCGCACATCTTTCTTCAGCGATGGCCAGTGGTACTTGTCCGCCACAATGACAGTGGTGCGAGCTATCCCCGAATGTCCAAAGGTGCCATGCGCCAGCGCCAGAACTGCAGACACCAGCTTGTGAGGTAGGGCTACAACATGTGCCGCCCCTCTCGGCGCAAACCAAAGTAGACCTTGATCGTCCAGGATGTAATCAGCTTGCTCTCCTTCGCCGTTCTCCAAATTGTCCCGGATGTTTCAACCTCAAGTCTTCCTGTTGGATCCTTTTTAGTTGGGCACCGTCGCGCAAGACACGCTCCATTTGTTCCAACTGTGCGGAATGCCCTCGACAGAGGGGAATGTCGTTGTCTGGCCGTTCCAACCGTGGTTGCGATGTTTCTGGGTCGGACCTCGATGGTGTTGTAGAAGAGCTCGCTGTCGACACTGATCGTCTCTCTGGTTGTTGCACCACGGTCTCCTTCTCTGAAGAGGTCGTTGGCTTCGCTATGGTGGATGGAGTGAGTGTCGGCTGTCGAGCTCGTCGAGCCGCACTCCGAGTCTCCGCCGGGGTCACCTTAAAACGTGTGCGGTCGACGTGACGGTCGACGGTAACTCCCCTAGTCACCACCGTCACCGCCGCATCTTCCTGATACAAGCTGGCCAAGTCGATGAGCAGATCTTCGTCTACTTGTTTGTTGTGATCTGTCTCTCCGGTCTTTGTACCATCCATTAGACGCTTCGGCCTTCCTTTCAGTCGTAGAAGATTCAGAACTTCTCTCAGCATTGGCGCTAATGTGTGCTCTTGCATCACTCGAGCTACATAACATCTTCCCAGAGTTGGTGGTACCTCGTAGTTGTCCCGGTTGGTGGTTAGCTTCACGTAATCTTCCCACGATAGCTCTTGCGCTTCCTGCAACGACCCTGCGTCGTTGGGATGTGCCGTAAAAGCTGTTGGTAGCGGTTTACGGCCCATGATGTGTTCCCTCGTAGCCGTCACCACCAGCTCCTCAAACGAGAATATCTCCTTGTTCTGATGTCCCCGTTTCAAGAAGAAGCATCCCTGTCTTGTCAAAAAGGCACCGACCGTGGGTGTCGACGGTGCAGTTCTCTCCACATTCTTCTTCCACTGAGATAGTTTAGCTGTCAATTGGGATCCCCGCTCTTCTTGACTGCTACCACAAACACTCTCCGTTTTGTTGTGGGTATCCCGACTGCTGTCGCTGACAGAGACGCTGTCGCCGTTTCACAGCCTGCCAGGTGCAGTTCTGGGTGAAGGATGTTCTTCCATCTCTCTGACCCTGCAAAGCCTACTGGACTCTCCATTACCAGGATCTGGATGGGGGACGACACGAAAATCTGCACAATGTTGTCTGCATTTCGCCCTGTCCTCGCTCCTTCGTCTGGACCATCCTCAACGGCGCACGCATTGCCAATGAGGATTTCGGGTTTATACTCGAGGGTTGTGTGGCGTGTGTCGGACTCTAAAGGCTGACGAAGCAATGTCGCATCACCGGCTCCTCCGTTGACTGTGATGCATTCCATGGTCTTCCAATCAGAGTCAATCACACATGTTACGTCCAGCATACCCTCAACGGCTTGTAATTCTCCACCTGCCCCTCGACCGAGAACAGCCGACCTCGGCTGTCTTAGTGCAAAGAGACCTTGTGCTCGTTGATACGCCGCTACGTACTCTTCGTCCCTCGGTGTCAACGCATCAGGTGTGATCTGCAACGCATAGAACACAATGAGATTCTCCACTTTTCTGTCATCGACCTCTGTTGGCCCCAGGTCAGCTAAGCAGATTCCATCGAGTTTGATGTCTTCCTTGTTGAGCATGACTAACTCCGGTTGTGAGTCACTTCTCTCCTCTTCTTCCGCAAGTTGTGATTGTGCCATCCTTTGGAGAGGAAGCCCTTCCAACACTGATCCTGCCGGCCCGCTCCTCCTTACTTCGCCATCTCCATCACCCGGTAATGTGGTGTCGACATCGGGTTCGCCAGAGCCTTTCCGCCGGAGTCTAAAGAGAGCGTCTGGAACGACATGGTCTGTTCCCCTTCTACACTTGAGGACCATATCATACGCCATCATCTTTAGCGCCCAACGGTGCAGCTTTGACGATAGGTTGTGGCTAGTGAAGAGCCACATCAGGGCCGCACAGTCCGTGATGAGAGTGAACTGACGGTGCTGAAGGTAAATCTTGGAATGGTCTAGTGCATACAACACTCCCAGAACCTCCCGATCGTTTGACGATAGTTTTTTCTCTGACCTGGACAACCTCTTACTGGCGTATCCGACCGGAGCCTCCCTGTTCTCCACCTGCTGTGTCAGGACTGACCCTGCCGCGATCAAGCTTCGATGGTGCTGGTAGAGTTCCATCCCTTCCGACCATGACCCCTAAGAACTCGAGCTCCGGCAATAGAAATTCTCTTTTTACGAAGTGACCTGTGAACCCTTTTCGTTTCAGGATGGTGAGGACCTTCTCCAGCAGTACGAAGTGTTCTTCCAACGTCTTTGTGTGGAGTGCGATGTTATCCAACCATTTCTCCAAGCTCTTGCTCAATAACTCTCGCAGATCATCACCCAACGTGGCTGAGAAGACGGCGGGGATTGTGGTGATACACGCGCCCGACCAGGATGTGCCCACAGCGCAACGTAACTGCTACGCTACACGCCTACCGCAGCCAACTGTTCATCGCTGCAACAACGCTGCACGATACGGCTGTGTGTTCGCCCGTAGGATTGTCCCTTCTTCATCCGCCAGACCCTTACTACTCTTCGCGCATGCGGTTATTTGCGCATTCAAGGATGGATCGATAGTTAGCGGTGTCGACTGTCCCCTGCCGTCATTGGTCATTAAGCAACAAGAGTTCTGCACATACTTGTCTGGTACAATTATTTAAAGGGCCCCGTTTCTCGGCAGCAGCAACAGACGGTAGACGGGGTATACGCGAGATGGTGCGGAATTCGAGTGAGCTTCTACATATAGGTCAGGATCCATCTCCCCCCGAACATCGAAAAACGTTACCGAAATGACCGCCATCCTGTGGGTGTGGTACAGTTTATGTACATTATGAGTTTGGTTGCAGAGACCACCTGCCATGTAGAAATATTCCTTACACGCTATTGTACGGCACACACCCGGCTAGCAAGCAAAGCTGGAATGGCAGTGAAAAGTCACTTCGTTCCGGTTGTGTGTTGACAGGAAGGGCGCATTTCATAGTTCGTGTCATCCGTGCAAGTCGCCGCAATTCCTTGTGTGAGCGTGACCAGATTAGTTGCGACTACGCACCCCATGCGCTCCCACTCGTCGCTGAATGCCGCACAGCCTTACTGGAGAGGAGATGATCACGAGAGTGGGCGCATTCAAGGACGACGAGGGCAAGGTCCACCTCATACCGGGTGAGGGTCCGCGGGCGTGTGACTTTGCATGTGATGTCTGTGTACCACGACAAAATAGTGATATGTCGTCATGGGAATCTCGTCACGCAACTCGACACGGAAGAGGCACGGTAAATATTCGACCCCCCCTTCCCTACCCGCGGCCACAGCAGTCTGTGAGCCACCTTTATTCTATTCATTCTACTCTGCCGATAAAACTGCGTGGCTGGCATGCCATTTTAGAGGTGCCCATAGAGAAGGACCAGCACGACAAGGCGTCTGCGTACTCCATGCATGACGCAATTCCCGACCCGATGTGTCTTGCCCGGTAACCCTTACCGACGATAACACAACGCCGTTAGTGGTTTTACCGCCACCGCCAAACACAGTCGATACCGCCGATAAACGCATAACCGCCGACCACAAGAACTGTAGCCTCCATATGGCGATACCGCCGGAATTTACGGCCGTTTTTTTGTTGGACCGCCGCCGAAGTTGATGCCGCCAGAAAGGGCAATACGGCATACCGCATAAAAGCAAAGAAACCAAATGGCAATACCGGCGGAAAAGAGTCCGCCAAAAGAAACGTACAGAGTAATTCCTTGGTCGAAACGAAAGGGAAGAGGCCACATAAGCCCAGCATCATCGAGAGGGTTGATGCACAACCTCCAAAACGGTCTGGTTTTGCACCCTGCTTCTGCTCCCGCTTTGTCTCTGTGACTGTGTGCGTGTCGCTCTCAGTCTGACTCTCTCTGTCCTGTGATTTATTGTGAACCATACACGTCTGTCGGCGGGCGGGGAACAAAATAAATCGTGAAGGTGAAAGAAAAAAAAAATCCGGGCCTTTCTTGGTGTCTGTCATGTTTATAACCGCAAGCTTACCAGCGGCAGCAGCAGCAGCAATGTGTTAAGACTACATCTTACAATTCAATGATTAGGATGCTCTGATCACGCAGCGGGATAGTCGGTAATGGTAGCAGTTAGTGTCGATAGACGGGTGCCAGACAGATCTCGACAGCTGTTGAGTCTTGGCGAAATCCGCATGTAAGTTATTCAGGCAAAGCGCGCATGGTAAAGAAGCGGCGCGCAGACTGTTCGCCCCAGTCTTGTGCCGTTTATCGTTCTATTACACTTACCACCTATCGTTCGTCATGACAACGCGCGCACGCACGTTCAAAGGAAAGCGGACCTCGGATTGGAGGCGGCCCTTCATGAGCAGGGTCCATTCACGAACAAATTGTAATTTATTTACTGACACAGTAGCGTCATCCCCGCCCGTCCACCCACGCCCGCCCTGGTAAGACTCGAGGATGAGCACCCTCGGGAAGATGAGCTTGGTGCCAGGAGAGATGGACAACCCGCCCACGGCGAGGGACGTCATGGGCCCACTCCTCACCGAGTTCGTCAAGAAGGGGACTGCAGAAGGCCTAGATTCTCAAATGGTGCGTTCGTAACTGGGCACCAGGAACAAGGGACAAAGTACAGCACGGCAACGTACTTTGACCGTCTGTGACCCTTAGCAAAGAGTGGTAACGACATTGAATACAGACTAAGTAGTTGTGAATCAGGTAAAGGCGAGTAACGCCTCATATTACAAAAACCCTAGGAAAGAAAAGGAAAGCCTCCAGATTGCAAAACGCCCGAGTAAGGATGATCCCAATAACCCTTGACGCCGTGTACATTAAGGCACGACTTACGGGGTTTCAAATAGGGTTTATGCGACGGCCGAAACGACGTTATCGGTAGTCGGTGGGAATCCTGTGGTTTGTTGAGCCCGTCGCCGCTCTTCCTCACCAAGTTTCACACCACCCTTCCCTAACGTCACTGCGGAAACTGTTTCGCGCTACGATGCCCCCTACGCGACGGCTTTCCTCAACGCAGCGCGACACGCTTGTAAGGGCGTCACGCACAAGGTCAGGGTCAGCTTCGCCCTGTCCCTGGTCCACCGGCAAAGGGAGCTGCTTCAACCTCGACGTCCTGAGCGACTCGGACCGGGGTACTGACGACGGTCGCTCCTATAGCTCGGACAGCTCATCAAGCGATGAGGGCGACGGCGCCCAGGAGGACAGCGACAAGGAGGTGACCGAGGAGGAGGACAGCGACGTGGAGGAGGTCGACGAGGAGGATTCGAGCGGCGGTAGCATGTCGCGGAAGTCCGGGGCAAGGAAGGGGGCGACAGGTACTTCCGCCGGTAGGCCTGCAGCCGCATCCGCGAGGAAGGCGAGCAAGCATCCCGGCGCGGCCGCAGACATCTTGAATCTCGCGGAGGATGGCCCTGCAGGGCGCCCTGCTCAGGGAAGCTCTTCTAAGAGCGCCGCAGCAGCAAACAAACATCCCACCTCAAAGCGCGCTGGAGCAGCCGGTGCGCCAGTGGATCTGGCTTCAGACAACAGCAAGAAGAAAGAGGGCAGCGCCGACGGGGGAAAGGGCAAGAAAGGCAAGGCCGACGGGGGCAAGGGCAAGAAAGGCAAGGGCGACGGGAGCAAGGCCAAGAAAGGCAAGGGCAAAGCGGCCAAGGACAAGGGCGACAAGGGGCTAATGCATGCACGGCTGACCGAGAGCCGTGAGGATAAAGCAACGCTAGATACAATAGCGAAGCGGACTTCGCGCGAGGCCGAGGAGGAGAGGCAGACGGCCTACAAAGCGTTTCTCGAGGCGGAGCGGGTCAGGGGGAGCCGGGCAAAGGCTCTCGAGGCCCGGGCCCACAAAGGGATCGAGGTATTTACGACAGAAGGTTGCCCAACGTTTGTTGCATGCGGCACCAGGGTCCCCTCTATGGCAACCGATCATGCAATAATTTCTCGATATTTCCTCGCGGCCAAGGGGGACGACAGCACGGCTCCCGAACCCTGGATCCCACATTTTTGTCACAGTTGCCTGTATGCCGCGCCATAGTCACGTTGCGCGAAACATGCGATACTACACGACCCTCCACCAACCTATACTCTTCTATAACACCTGCTGCCGCCCCCACCGTCCATGCCTGCGTGGACTACGAAGGAGGCGAAGCAGGCGGCGCAGGTCGCGACCAAGGACAAGTCTGACGCCAAGATGAAACGACTGCAAGCGAAGAAGGTGCCGAACGTGTACTCCTTCCTGCGGAAGGAAGCGTCAACTGCATATTAACTAGCGGGGCAAGGAACGGGGTTACAGTAGGGCAGTCGAACACCCCCCGTCCCGAGCCTCGCGCCGAAACTATGCACGCTGTCCGCGTTATCCAAAGTGACGTTGGCGACAGCGGGAGAGTTGGCTACTCGTGGACGGGCCAATCGTCTTGTTAAGTGGTCAGGAATGGTGTCGCTGTCGCATAATTCTCGCGTAGAGTACACAAGGTCGTGCTCCTGACCGTTGTCCTTCATGCTGTCGCTTTCGCCATCGACCCCCCTCGTGTTGCTGCCAGGATACCAACGCCAAGACGTCTACCACTACCGCAAGTTCCGACCATGCGTCAGCATCTACAGGTTTCAAGCGAAAGGTACGACAACGCATCCAGCATCATCATGGGAGTCTATAGAAAAGCAGGAACGTTTGCACCACTCGAGCGCGTGTTGCCTGTTACTACGTTGGTTTATTTTGGTGCTCAGTCTTTCGGTGCCAAACGTTATACGAGCAGGTAGAATAGGACCGAACAACATGGTTCTGCGGGAAGCGGTTTAGTCGACCTAGTCTTGTGCTCTGATTGGACATGGATCAATGCATAACGTCCGTCAGTCGTGATCTTGGTCACAATGTTTCATGCCACCTTCGACTTGTCAGGCTGGGCTTCTATGCACAGAGTACAGCACCACCGTACTGGAAAATCACCGGCCGGAGCCGAACTTCCACGGCCCAACGTTTACATTCCCTATTTCCCTCTATCCAGATACCGTGTTTCCTACTACCATGACTGCCACAGCACTTACAGAATGATCCTAGCCTCTCTCTACCCAAGAAATGTGACTGGACTATACGAAGGGCCACCCCAGGCGGAGCCTACTTCACTGCTCTGCTTCTTGCGTCCCCGCTTATTTTCCGTCAAACAGGATGTTACTCCCGCTGCCCCTCCGGTCGGTTCGGACAAGAAGAAAAAGAAACCCAAGAAGAGCAACAAGCCCGACGCCAACGTCCAGGTAAGCTCAGCGAGGGGCTCTCCTAAGTGCTGCATTCCCACTTCACATTCATTGGCTACACATGGCTACGTGGCTGATATATGACTGCAGCAAGAGCAGAGCGAAAGGAACGTTGCCCAAACAATGCGAGTGTTTCATTAGCGCTCTTCCGTGGTCGGGACGGTGTGTATTTCGATCGTCGTTCGAACAATTTTCGGGTTATCGTTATAGCTATTGTGGCGACAGTCCCCCTAAGATCGTGGTAGGGCTACATACATCCAGACAGCGTCGCCTACAGATAGGGAAACACCGGGGTGTTGCTCTTGATTTTTTTTTTTTTTCCTGGAACCCACGTTGCTCATGTGTCGCTGCCGAATCCGTTATTGGGTTCGCTCGTCGCGCTAAGGCCAAAGCTGCCCCTTACCCTCCTCAACTGTGCTAACGTCGGAGTGTGGGAATAACGAGCCCTCAGCCTTGTGCCCTCCCATCCGCGTAAAGATAAAGTGTGCACCCAATGGGGGTTCGACCTTACTAGAAGTTTCGACGTCGTGTTCAAGATACGGTATACCGGTGCGACCGGGCTCATGCGTCGCGGAAAATTTGCACAACCCTACAATCGATGATATAGTTAATTGGCCGTAGTACACATTTCCTTCAACCACAGCCCCACACACACCCTCTCTGCGGGTCGCAGTCAAGACCACTGCGCTGGGGGAAGTCACCTCCACGGGGTGCAAAATCCACAACGCCCTGTCCCCATGCTATACAGCACACTCCACGCCCCCAAACCGCGGTTCAAGCGCCTTTGCTATTTGCAGCCAGACGCACCTGGAAGTGGTGACCCACGCATACTGCACCCGCTTGGCTCCGGTGTCGAATACACAGACGCTACGCACGCACGAACTATTAGTCTTCGCCGGCCCTCAGCTCCACGCGTCCCCCCACCCCCCCTCCTACGTCCCTCTCAGATACCTGGGTTAGACCCGGCACAGGTTGCAGCTCTGATGCAAATGATGCAACGTCTACAAGGCGGGGGGAGCTCCTCGGGAACCGTACGTGACGCGTCATCCGAATCGGATTCGGACTCAGCCTCGGTCGATTCGACGGCCAACAAGGGACATCCAGCTGGTGAGAGGTAGACGTTGGGACACAACTGCAATACTGAGGACACTGGCTATTGTCGGAGACAGATGCCGGTGCCGTGGCAGTATTATCCCACTGCCAGGGGAAGGCTATTTCCTCTCGTGATGTGTAAACGAGGAGAAGAGGGTAGAAAGAGAGAGCGGCCATAGCGGCAGAGGGAGAGGAGAGTCGAAGACTCTCCGCTTCCACTTTCGGCAAGTGGCCAGGGACTTCGGAAGATATCCATCTCCGACGGTGCATTTCCTGTCACTCTCCTTGTGACAAGATACCCCGAGGGAGCCATATCTTCCTACACTTTGTATGTGCACACATGGTTGGTTATACTCCTGACAGGTGTCCTCCACATCACCCCCCCCTCTATGCGCCACAAGTCCATCTGTGCTAAAGATGTGCTTTTGGCGGCCATAGACATGAGTGGCTCATGGAGACACATGTATTGGAGTTAACCTACCTGGTACAACATCATCAACTCGGCCTGATTATCATACAACGCGTGTTAAAAAACACGGAGTCTTCAGACAGAGTAGTGATAGATGTGGTCCATACTAGTATAGTCTAGAAAAAAAAAATTGTGGGTACTGGGCTATCAAGATGACAGCTAGTGTACTAAAATATTTTCTCTATTCATCATCGAAAAATAAGATATTGATGGAGGATGAACTTGTAATGAGGTGACCCTCTGGCAAGTTTATCTGTTCACCAAAACATAAGATATTGATGGAGGATGAACTTGTAATGAGGTGACCCTCTGGCAAGTTTATCTATTCATCACAAATAAGATATTGATGGAGGATGAACTTGTAATGAGGTGACCCTCTGGCAAGTTTATCTATTCATCGAAAAATAAGATCTATTCATAAAAAAATAAGATCTTGGGACAGCGGTGGTATCATTCAATTCTCCTCGCGAGTGTTTCCCCAAACACTTCAAAAATAGGTTGTTTCCACTGGATACAACCAACCACCGTGGCTACTGGTCCTGTGCTAAATATATATATATAACACAGAATAATAGTAGTATAAATTTGTCTCAAGTCTCGGAAAAGATAGACATGGCAACTGTTAGGAACGATAGAATAAATCAATCGTTTAATTTCCGGGCCCTAGTTCGTTTTCGTTTGCTAGTACGGCAGGGCAATTGAGTATCACTCTGTGTCGTAGCAGAACGCGACTTGGGTAATGGACCCTCCTTTAGGAGCCTTCTTCGTCGCTTCTTGGTTTTGTTCGGTGGCTCAGAGCCACTTTGCGTTGCCAATTTCCGACTTAAAGGTTCTTGAGGAGTAGCTGCCTGTTTTCGTTTTCGTTTCCCTGTTTTACTGGGTGATTTTGGGTCTCCCTGTTCAACTGGGGCACGAGACGACGATATATTAGGCTGCAATATTTCCAAACCACAACGGATTCGGTAGGCAGATATCATTTCTTGACATTGTGGAATTTCGTCTGCTCTATATTCAAGGTCTGACTCAGGGCCGTAGCCTCGAAGACGCAAACGATACTTGTAGTTGTACGGGGTTTTCGGCCCCTTACCACTCTTATGACTTACCACTTTGTCAACGGCGTAGGATTCAATTTTCGGTTGAGCTTCGTCGGGATGGTCTAGCTCGGGCAACGGAATCTGGCGTCCTAAGAAAAACTCGGAAAGCTTATCAAAGTCTGGCGCAGGTGGTGTTTTCCTCGCGTAGTACTGTTTAATGTGGGCTAAATGGACCGAAACTTCTCGAGTTTCGTTCTGGCGTCTCACTCTATATACCACCGGTGATAATTTAGAGCAGATGACGTAAGGTCCTCTCCACGGTAACAATAATTTCGGATTTGGTCCATCCGAATCCTGGTATGGGCGGTACACAAGTACTAGATCACCAGGTTTAAACACAGGGATAGGGCGCAGTTTAGCGTTCTTAGCAGCTTGTTTTTTTGTGCGTTCCGATAGGTTACGGCGCGCTAGTTCAAAAGCAACCTGTAGATTTTCCTGTGTTGTTTTAGAGAATTCCTCGGTATTCGCTGTTGTTCCCACATGAGGGATGCCGAGGATAATGTCAACTGGTAGTCGTGGCTTCCGACCAAACATAAGAAAGAATGGTGTTTCATGCATGGTGGAGCTAAATGACGTGTTGTAAGCCAGTTGGACAAAAGGCAGCAATGATGCCCAGTTATCGCGGTTCATGGAACTATGCATGGCAAGCATTGCGTGCATGGTAGCATGTACTCGTTCTGAGACAGAATTACCCTGCGGACGGTATGGTGTCGTGCGGGTTTTCTTGTAGTTCAGAATACGCTGTAATTGGTGGACTACACTGTTCTCAAATTCAGGTCCTTGGTCGGAATGCAACAGTTCAGGCGATCCAAAGATGCTGATGATGCGGTCGATAATGGCCTGAGCGACAGTGATTGCTGACTTGTTGGGAATCGGAGTCAACACGGTGAATCGGGTTAGGTGGTCCATCATGGATAGGACATGTTTGCACCGTACCCCGGCGGCTGAAACTGATTCTACTTTATATTCAACTAGGTCAACCGAAATACGTTCAAACGGTCTTTGTACTGGTACATGTCCCGTTGGTAATTTGTTCCGGTTGTGGGCTGTTTTCCGACGTTGACAGGCTTGGCATTCTTGACACCAAGTACGGACGTCCCGATTCATGGTTGGCCACCAGTACTTTTGGCGAATCTTCTCATAAGTCGGTCTAGACGCTAAGTGGCCCCCAGATAATACGTGGTTATGATAGGCGTGTAGCACTAGTCCGGTAAGGGCGTAAGGCAACACCAATTGGTCACTAAACGTACTACGTTTCCGGAGGTAGCCTGGTAAATACGATTTAAACAGCAATCCATCACGCACGAAGTAGTACGACATGGAAGTGGTTGTCTCGTCATCAGGTAATTGAGCGTCAGGTTTTGTAAGATAGTCGATATACTTGCCATATTCAAGAGCTTGTTTTTCACGCAAGATATCGCGGTTAATAGTTTCAAATACGTTGGTCGCGCTAATATAAACTGATTTCTCAGCGAATAATTCGCGATCACTTTGAACCGGTCGCAAGTTTTCCAAACGATCTGCAGACACTTGGTACGGACGTGGTGGGACATTTGAATGCAGCGCAGGGTCATCAGGCACATTCCTACATATCGGTGCAAGTTGCGGTGCTTCCAACTGTTGTTGGTGATCGAACGCAAACAACCGAGATAGGGTGTCTGGGACTACATGTAACTTTCCCGGCTTGTGTCGCACTGTAAAGTCAAAGGACTGCAAAGCGATTGCCCATCTG